CACACACACACACACACACACACACACACACACGCACGCACACACATACATGCACGCATGCACATACACATGCATGCACAAATAAAATTTCTCAACTCCAATAGTATTATGCTCAACTTTAAAACTATCAATTATCATTCACATATTAACTATAATTTACATTATTAAGTTGTTAATGGCATTAAAAAATTTAGCCATATATTAAATACACTTTTATGTATACTCACTACAAGGTAATTAGATTAAGTATGTGAGTAGAGGCTATGAAAGACCTTTTAATTACTTAAATCTGATACTTGTGATCCTATATTTTATGATGAACTAAACTATAGTTTAGTTTTCTAAGTTTAAATAATGTAAAACTTTAGGGCTATGTTATTAGCGACACTGTCCAATTTTACAAAATTAAAAGTTTTAAGAAAATAAAACTTAAATATATGTGACATTAAAAAAAAAAACCTAAATAGTCTGGTTAGATGTTCCTATTGCCCAAGAACAGATTTCCTCTCAGTGATCATGCCGCACAGTGACAATAATGCAATTAAGACATTTTCAGATCAGCTTAAAGTTAAATAATATATTAAATTCTAGTGCATAGAAAACTGCATTATCAGACTTGAGAAATAAAACTTCTCCTTCATTAACACATACCTACACATACTTGAAGCAATGCTAATGCTTTCCTTCCTGAAGGCACAATGCAGAGGACCTTTTCAGTTTGCTGGAAACAGGGTCTTATGCTGTAGCGAGGACTGGCATTGAACACCTCCTACTTCAGTCTCCTGAGTGACTACAGACATGCACTACCCATTCCTGGCTCCATAGCTATTTTAACAGTAGAGGAAGAATATGGAGTGGGTAGAGAAGTGTGCTAATTAAGGGAACCCCAGACATGTGTTCCATGGGTAATGCTGGCTTCTACCAAGAGGCAGAGCCCTCCACATCAAAGAAGGATGGGACACAGTTAAGGAACAAGGTGAGAGATGCTGCTGGAGGCAACCATGCCATCAAACATTAGGAGTTTGAGGTTCTGTCAGTCCTCCCCTGAGTTAAAAAGGAGTACTGCTGGCTAGGTCTGGTTGTGTGCACTGACATGAGTCATTTAACTTTTCTAGGGTTGGATAATTCATTTCCAAAGCCTAGCTCTGCTCTAGAAGTTTATGACTATATCTCCAGTAAAAACTCAGCTCATTTCAAAAGGTAATAGCTCGAAATTATGGCTATGCATCAAAATTTTTTGAGGAGTTTTTTTTTTAAGCAAAGAGACGCAAACTACTGCATACTACTGAATTCAATTACAAAAATGAGTGCTCAGTCGTTTTTATTTTTAAAGTCTTCTACACTGTATTTCTTGGGCTTAAAGTTGAAAGCCATACTTGTAAATGGTTAAATTCAGATATAGGTACAATTAATTGGCCAGTAGTATTTACTGCAAAATGTTCACTTTAAAGAGAGTTCCAATTAATATCAAAAAGGCATTTTTAAAGGGATTGTGAGGTGTTGAGTACATAAAAATAAACACTATCCTATTTTTAAAATATTGTATTTATTTTTATTTTATGTGTATGAGTATATTGCATGCATGTATGCAGGAGCACCTATGTTATGCAATGCCCATGGAGGCCAGAAAAGAGGGTGAGATCCCCTGGAACTGGAGTTACAGATAGTAACTGTGAGTTGCCATGTGGGTGCTGGGAACTGAACCTGGGTCCTTTGTAAAACCAGCCAGTTTCCTAACTGCTGAGTCATCTCTCTAGCCCCCACACTATCAGATTTTTAATGATCACTGATTTGAAACAGAATTGAAAAAACCCTACATTGGTATGAATAAAATCATATCAATTTTTTCATTGGTATGAAAAAAAAAGAAAAATTGGAAGTTTCCCTAAAGCAGAAATGAAGAAGTCAGGAAACAGAGTCATAATTAAATTAAAGTTTAAATTATAGACTTGTATTTGATATTATGACAGCCTGGAAAGAAGATATTCTTACTATCGGACTACAAAAGTTCAGTGAAAGAAATGTTTATGGGCGATCTGGACTAAATGTAACTTACAAATAAAGAATTAAAATCTTTAGAAATAAAGAAAATCGATGTGGCAAAATAAGAGAAAATTTCAATGAGGCTAGAAAGATGACTTAGCAGTTAAGAGAACTAGCTGTTCTTGTAGAAGACCCAGGTTCCGATCCCATCACCCATATGGCTGCTAACAACTGTCCATAACTACAGTCCCATGGGATCTGACACCCTCCTCTGTCCTCTGCAGGCACTGCACAGCATGGGTGAACTTACTGACATGTAGGCATAACACTCATACACATAAGATAAACATAAATGAATAAATAAAAAAGAAAAACTCAATGATCAGAAAAATAGATTATCTTGAACCAGGTGAGGTGGTGCATAACTGCAACCCGAGCAAGCGGAGAATTCTAAGTTCCAGAGCACACTGGCTATATAGCAAGACTGTCTCATAAACAAAACAAAAGAAAATAGACATCATCACTGAAGCCTGAAGTTCTGATGAATATTATTTACTGATATGAACAAAATAATGCAGAAGACATAATAGGCATCTGACAGTAAGTAAGTAATAATGCAGCGAATAAACCAGAGACTGTCAACAAAAGCTCTGCATTAAATGTAAAGT